CACAGCAGAAGGGTGAAGACAGGGCATTTGAGACACAGAAAATGGTTGGGGCAAAGCCTTAGGATGGTCAGATGCAAGGCATAATCAGGAATATTCAAGAAGCTGCTGTAGAGGAAGGGAGGTAGTTTGGAAAAGCAGATGGGAAGAGTGGGCCTTTCTGAGTTGGTCTGATGATCTAATCACTTACATAGAAAATAATGGCCAGATGTGGTGGCTCAGACCTGTAATCCCAACACTTTGGGAGGCTGAGGCAGGTGTATCACCTGAGGTCAGGAGTTCGAGACCAGCCTGGCCAACATGGCAAAAGCCTATCTCTACTAAAAATACAAAAATTTGCTGTATGTGGTGGCAGGTGCCTATAATACCACCTATTAGGGGACTGAGGCAGGAGAATCGCTTGAAACCCGGGAGGTGGAGGTTGCAGTGAGCCAAGATCATGTGACTATACTCCAGCCTGGATGACAAAATGAGACTCAGTTTTAAAAAAAATTACCTATACTTTTCATGTTAAAATATAGACAGGTCATTTTCAAAAGCCTAGTTTTTTCAAACAAACGTGGTCTTGCCTCCTACTGAAGAGTTGTCTTACGTACAATAGTTCATTACCATGAAAAATAAGAAAGTGATTAATTGCAAAAATATCTTTTATGTTTAACTTTCTAAAGATAGATTTGTCAAAGAGCAGCACAGGAGATTTTTAATAGCTTTATGTACTGTTTTGTAATCAGTTCATTCTGTAACTCTGTACCTCATTAGGGATAAAGCTTGCAAAGCTTCATACTGTCACCGAGTAAAGTCTGCAGGCACTAATCTGGGGTCAGGGGGAGGAATAAAGGGGAAAAATAAAGAAAGAATCCCTAATAAGGGTCAGTCCCAGGAACAACTTGCCAAAGATTGTGGCTATCTAACATCAGTGCCTGCCTGTTTGTGTATCTGAGTAGGATCATGTACACATTTCTTCTGGTTTGGTGCCCATAGAGTGAGGACCCTGTGGTAGGTCATAAGAAACTAAAGTCATGAGCTCAGATTCAATGGTATCTACATGATTTTATGTTAACTGGACAAGAGATTGAATGGAATCCAGTCTTTTATTGAGATATTTGGGCAATCCAAGCATTTGTCCCCATTTCCATCCTCATTTTAGCTTTTCCCGGTAAGAAACTGAAACACAGAAAACTCACAGGGACAGTCTATCAGATTCCTGAAATTCCAGTTCGTTTGTAAGTCACTGATAGGCGACAATACATATACATATGAAATACAGTCTATTATAAAATATATGATGAGGTACTTTAAGAAAATGCTTTTGGCATATTACAAAGTCATTATTATTGTTTACATCTATTTATCATTTTACTTGTTGAACGTGATGCTCTTGAGAACTGACACCACCTGATCATAAGAAACACACCACTGTTATCTTAGCTGGGAAAATGTTCCATCTTACTCTTAAACGTACTAGTTCTGGTCCTGATGGGAGAACCTTTTTGAAGAAGCATTGTTTTGTTTCCCCCCCTCTTATGTCCACATGAGTGAAGGGAAGACCCACACAACAGTGTGGAGAGTTCCATTCATTTACACATTTCTGCCGCCTCTCTCTCATCCACAAGGAGCTAGCTGTTCAACAGTAAAAGTTCCTCTCTATTGGCATATAACAAATAATATAGCGGTGTAACTAACAACAGGAACAAAGCATACAAAGTCATCCATAAAACTTAACATCTTGCCAGCGATAAGGAATGCCATGATAAATGATGGAACATCACTAAAATGGCATATTACATAATTGTTCATTGATAATCAGGAATACTACATAGTAACATGGAAACATGCTTGGAATATAATTAAAAGAGAAAAGAAAAACACACTATTATAATATGTACACTGCATGTGCATGTGGAGGAGGATTGGAAGATGATATACAAAATAGAAACAGGAGTTGTTTTAGGATAGTGAGGTTGTAGGTTTTCAGAAACATTTTCCTTAATGTGATAAAATACTAGTATTAATAATAGTGAATTCACCAAATAAATGATGTTGTGAGTACAGAGGGAGGCTACTAATAAATAACTAGAGATTGGACATTGCAAAAGGGAAAAAGCATTTGAAAGAATGAATATTCCTTTCCTACATTTGTCATCTCAGTGGATATTAAGATCTATAGTATTGAAAACATTTTCAAAGCAGCTGCTTAGTAGGGTTTGGAAGAGAGCCTGAACTTAACTGTATCTGGATTTTGTTTGCCAAGATGACTGCAGCAGAAAATAAATCTTAAAACATATGTCTAATATGATCTCATTTGAGTATCTTGTCTGAATTCTCACTTAAGAATGAAGAAGCAGTTTGGAAAAATAGCCCATGTGCACAATAAGTAGGCATATAGGGCACGGGAAATTAAACAGAGAAATTTTGAAAATAAAATGCCTATTCAAAATAAAGTTGAAATGTCTATTTGGATTAACAGCAAAATAAAGTAATGCCTATGTAAATTTATATCTGTCTAGGAGCCCTTAAGGCTGCCAGGAACAATCCTAATGTCTATTATATTAATATGAACAATTTGCTAAAACTGTCCAACTCATTGGAATGAGTTGCTGTCTTTTCCTCTAAAGGGCTGAGACACTTTTTTTCTCTTTTTCTTCTACCTCTGTTCGAAAGAATGTGGGTTTTACCCTTTTTTTGTGTGTATTTTTTAGACTTTGGAAGTTTTACTCTGAATAGTACTTACAAGTACTGATTTGGGGCACCAGGCTACCTTGTTGTATATAGAAAGGGGTTTGTTAATATGTTAAGAGAAATTTACACACACAATCATACGTTTTATTCTCGCTAGTCAAAGTTAAAACCTTCCACACCAATATTTGCAAACCTTTATTTTAGCACAGGAAAACATTTCCTCAAATGCATACTTAAATACCTTAAAGAGGGTAGATGGGAGAAGAAACATGAAATAGGGTTTTTTCTGAAATAGAACTTGAAAATGAGCTAAAATGCATTTTATCTCTAAACTAATAGTTGACCCTCAATTGGGAAAGAGAGAGAATGATATGAAGGAGTTTGAAATGGTTCCAAGAAATCAGAAAGTAACTTTTCCAACCCCCAAACCATACCTGACTCTGCAAGCATCTTTCTTCAGAAAATTGCAGCATTGTTGTGTAAGATTTGCTGAGTCTCTGTGAAAACCTCTCTGTCTCACTATCTCCTCACCTCTAACAGTGGCAAACATTTTAAAGAAAGTTTTTATTCCTAAGAGTCATCCAATAGTTGTCACCATTATAAAAATATGATTTCCTGTTTTCAAAGTATATTAAAACTATTAAAAGTTTCTGTGATTTTAGGGAACTATTTCTTCCCATCCCAAATCCAAAGTCAATCACATTTAGTGCAAGGTTATGTATTAGATTACTTTGAGTTATACCAACATTTAAAATTTTCTCCTGAAAAATATTTTGCTCTGATTATGTTAATGTATTCTCAGGAATGTATTGTGTTGAATAAATAATATTTGGTAATATAATGCATCTGGTTTCACACATCTACAAAATTCTTTTTTGAGTAGTAGCAATGCAATCTATTTCACGTAATTATCATAAATTTCTTAATTTTGGCATGCATTTTGCTGTAACTCATTTCCTGGCAATATATAAAGTGCCTTTGACATAATACCATAGAAATATTTAAACTGAAAATGAATGATAGAAATAATCGAGTGTTAATCAGTTCCCCCTTCCTTCACAGAGTGAGAAACTCAGGTGTAAGAAGATAAAATTTGCCCAAGATCCTGCATCTCATTTCTGACATTTAAGTCCCACTAAAATAATTACATATTTTTGATTTTGAACTTGACTTGAAAATTATGATTTTTTTTTAAAGAGCATGATTCTTAAGACAGAACACAATTGATATACTTAAGAAAGAATTGCAGAGTTGGAATTGAAATACCCAAAAAAGTATGTCCAAATTTTTGTCCTCAATTCCCCTTTTGGGAGAAAGTGACTAAGATTATGATCACTTAAAATGATTATTCTTTGAAGGATACAAAATACTTCTGATCTTCAAGATGAACTCTATCATCATCCCTATATATAATTCAATATTTTTCTTTACCAGGGATCAAATGGCATTCTGCTTGATAGCCTTCTTGTCCACTGCAGTTGAGCAAGTGAAATAGAAAGCACATTTTAGGATAACACTGTGATTTGCTGTTTTCCTCAGCAGCAAAATGTATGCAATAAAGAGAATTTTTTTTTTTAACAGACTTTGTTCACTGATCAGGTGAACTTAATAAAATCTAGCCTTCAGTTAAATTTAGTAGATTAGCTCTTGTTTCACTGGCATTTACAATTTGTGAGAGGAGTTGAACAAATTTACAAATAATGCCACTTCCAAAGGTTTAATCATTGCATTTCATACAAATTACATGCAATGTTCAGGGCTAATGTGTAGACTTTATAGTTGTCAGATTTTAAAAGGTATATAGGAATGGTAATTATCAGTACATGGTTGCCAATATAGCCAAAGACTTGGCTATATCTGTAAAATTCATTTTTTCTTGATGAAAACAAATTCTAATCTATGAAAGTATCATATCAAGTAATTTTGCACCTGGTAAGGAAATAATACATGAATGATAGTAAATGTTTAGAAAAAATCCATTTCAGATAAAGACACAATAAATGGATTTAAACAAAGAGTTTAAGAAGTAACATAGCCATATAAACATGTTAACTTTTCACATAGCTGGTCACACTTATTTTACTTTATTAGAAACCATGATCTTGTCAGACAATAATGCCACAAGACTCAGTTACATAATCCAACTGTCTTTTAGTCCCTTTTTCCCAAAAACCATCCCATCTAAAGAGGGTTTAACTCTTCTATCTTGATTTTTTTCTTTCACCAAATACCAAGTATGGTAAGCTTTTCACCAGACAAAAATTATTTCAGATTATAACAGATCATTTGTGATCAGTTATAACAGATCATTAATTTTTTTTCAATTTCTTCAAAAACAAAGCAGCTCACTTTCCCTATGGACAGCTCATGCATCGTTTGATGCCTCACATCTGTAGCCCACTCTAGATTTATCTTGCTTTCAGCTGGTCCTGGATAGCACTTTTTGGGTTATTTTACAAAACATTCAACATTGTGTAAATTGTTAAGAAGCAACCGGAGTAACTTCCTTTCCTACCCACTGCCTCTTCCAGTGTCCTTAATCCTTATCACCCTTCCCTAAAGTGTGTCCCCAACATGCCTATTTACATGACTCTCGGACACCAGATATTATCACACCCATCACATACCAGGTCAATTTCTAACGGTGTGAAGGCTCTCCAAGCAGAGCAATTTTCTTCCATGGGGAGCTGGGCATAGTCATGTTTCTATGAATCCAGTGACCTTTGTATGCACAGATTAGACGATGGTCTCGTGGTCCCACCTGCCTTGTATCTGATTGATATAACAACAGTATCTGTCATAGGGGCTGTTCTGCTTGTAGGAGCAAACGATGATACTGTCCTGGGGCACAAAGAAGATGCTGTCCTCAGGCTCAGGGCACTCAGATCTGTCCCAGGCTGAGCACTTGACGTCCAAGGCACTGTAGGCAAGGGAACTGCCTGAGGGGCAGTAGCCGTCCAGGTATCTGGACGTCTCCTCCTGATGCCCACTCTGGACCAGGCTCTGGCATTCTCCTTCCTCCGTGGGTGTGGGGGTGGTGATGGAGCTGGCCACAGACACCTCACCCTGGCCTTGTTGGGGAGGCTTCCCCCTGACGCCCGCCTTCTTAGCCAGCTCATCTGAGCTCCCCTTGCCGGACTCCAGGTCTGAAGGGGTCCTCAGCAGCTCCACCACCTCCTTGTCCCTGGGTTTCCGGAAGCAGGGCAACTTGCGGACCCACAGCAGCTCGTTCTCCGGCCACTTGGTGCATCCCTCGGTTTTCCTGGCCAGGGCAATGGCCGCAATGCCTGGTAGGCAGATGGCCGGCCCGATGGCCAGGAGGGGGATGTTTCCCAAAGTCTCCCCTTTCATCCCAGAGACGGTGAACATGAAACCGAAGACCAGGAAGACACTGACCAGGGCCACCACCAGCCCAGTCCTCGGGTTAATGTCATCAGGCCGCATCTTTCACTCCATCCAGGTTGGGGGCTGCTTGCTGGCCAGGGAGCAGCGTTCCTTTATTCTGTCAGAGGTGAAACCACAGTGCGTTTAAAAAAAAATCCAGGTCAAGCTCCCACCCACCAACTCTTGTCTCTCTCTTGCTCTTTGTCTCTGACTCTCTTCTTGACTTTCAGTCTTGGTCTCTGCCTCTGTATCTCTCTTGCAATCTCTGTCTCTCTCTCCGCGTTTCTCTTGCAATCTCTCCCTGTTTCTATTTCTCACTCTTCCTCTCCGTCCCTTCTCCCTCCCTCCCTTTCTCCCTCGTCCCCTCCCTCCCTCCCTCCCTCTCACTATTGCAACCTCTGTCTCTCTCTCTCAAATCAACACGCACCGGCTGGGGTCACCCCCTTTCTCCCTCGTACCCTCCCTCCCTCCCTCTTACTATTGCAACCTCTGTCCCTCTCTCTCAAATCAACACGCACCGGCTGGGGTCACCAGGTACCTGAGGTTTCCTGCGCTCTCCAAGAAGTAGGGAAAGAAGCCAGGCTGTCTCCTCAGAAGCCTCCAAAGCAGCTGCCCCCTCAGCTCGCTCCCCTGGCTCTGGGAGGAAAGCTTGGTTTCCCCCAGGGACTCTGTATCCGGGAGGTGGAACGTGGGAAAGCGGCTCTCCCAGCCGTGCCCGTCGGTCCCCGTGCTGTGCAAACGGAGCCCGGCGCCAGCTCAGCGCGCTGCGCGCGGGGCGCGGGGGGAGGAAGCACTGAGCCTGGGAAAGAGGGGACGCGGCGCGAGCCTGGCCTCGTTACATCACTGTCAGAGCAGGCTGAGAAACGCAGAAGGACGCGCGGGGGCGCGAGGGGGTCAGCCCCGGAGAGAGGCCACCCGGAGGCAGGCGCTGCGGGGGGTCTCGTCGGTGCTGCTGGGAGCCGCTGGGGTGGTGCCGCCGCCGCCCCGGAGGCTGAGCAGGGCGACCTGACCTGCTTCCGTGCCCTGGGAGGGTCTGGGGCGCGAGGCTGCTGGTGGCCAGAGTCGGGAACCGGGGTCGGTTTGCCCACGGGGATTCCGTTGGAATGTCGGAGCTCTGGCTCCAGTCTGGGATCCGAAAGGTTAGGTGCCAGCAGGAGATGTCCCTCGGGGACCCGCACCCTTCGCCAATTACAAATCCGGGTGACTGACGGCAGGCCCAGGGGGCTCCCGGGGCGCCCTTCTCTTCACCCTTCGACTCGGGGGGCGGAGGGCAGTTTCCCTCGGGGAGCCGGTGCCCGAAGACTGCGCTGGTCCCGGCGCTGGGCGGTGGCGGCGCGCGAAAGCGCTCTTGCAGCGGAGTGAGTGCGCCTTGGGAGCGCACAGAACCAGCGTCCAGGCGGAGTGGATTAGTGGTGAGGGGCGGGTGCCGGGCTAGTCCGGGCCTTGGGGGGGTCACTGGAATCCCAGTGGCTTTCCAGCTCTAGGCCCAGGAGAGGATGACCTTAGAGCTTGCATTTCACTTCCACAGCGCCGTGGGGCCAGGTGGACTGGGCAAGGGAGAAGGGCTCCCTGCCCCCCAGTTCGTGAGGAGAAGGGGCCTTGACCTGTCAGGACCACCGTCCCGCGGCGCCGCTCCAGCTCTGGGCGATTCTCTCCTCCCTTGCTCTGGTACTCGGTAGAGGCAGATGGATTCCTCTGGCCCCGGGGGCAAGACTGGCTTTGGCTGTGATTCTTCAACAGGGTTACCCTTTAGGATACAGGAAGGCGGGGGTGGGGGTGGGGGGAAGAGGGTGGTGAGCGGTTCACATCCAGGCCTTCCCCACTTAAACTAGCTGTGTGTCCCTGGGCAAGTGACTTAACATCTCTGAGAATCAGTTGTCCTATTTGTAAAATGAGATTAATGCCAAATATATGAGGGAACATTGTGAGGTTTAAATAAATGTAAAGTTTCTAGCACAATGCTTGGCACATAGTCCGTGTCCAAAAATTACACACACATGCACACACATACACATGCATATGTATATATGTTTGTCATCATAATTAGTGTCCTCATCATGTATGGCAGGAACCAAATCATAAAAGCTGTGAGACTAATGACTTTTAATCTACTAGGAACCCTGAAAGTATTTTAAGCGGAGATCAATATAAAAACATTCTGTTTTTGACTGAAAGGGACGGCAGGTGAGAGAACAGGTCAGAGGTGGTAAGTCTGCAAGCCTGAGTCTTGTTTAGGAGGGCAGTTCAGTAAGCTGAGCAGTTCAGTGAATCCAGCAAGACAGGATGTGGCCTTAAAAAGGTCGGGCTGGAAGGGGAGGTTAGAAAAAAGCAGATCTGAGGGTATTTAAGGGTTGAAGTGTCTTGGAGCACAGTGAAGTGAGATGAAGGGAGGAGCCAAGGTCGACTCCCAGCTTTCTCACTTTCAAAGGGGTGGATCAGGAACCAATCCTTCTCATTTTCCATTCCATCATTTATTTTGTGTCTTTTGTACTCATGATCATTAGACAGCTGCTGCACCTTTAGGCACAGAATCATTTAGGAGGGAAGAAAGGAGAAAATGCAAAGGGTAAAAGTGGGGTGCCAGTTCTTTGGTAACTTGCATGAGGACAATAATAATTTTCCTGGCAGCCCCACCAAGTAGATAGGTATCTGCTTATAATCAACAAAAGATGGATGAGCTTTGGGATACAAAGGAACCTGGGAAATTGTTGTTTATTTATTTACCAGATCCACTGATGCCCTGGAAAAAGGGTTCTGTTAATAAAGAGAAAGGGAGAATGAATACTGGGGAAGCAGCTCGCTGCGTGTGTTACAACTATTGAAAATGTTTCATTTCTTAAAACCCTCTCTTTTACTGACACCATTCTGTCCTGATTTTCTTCCCATTTCCCTGGTCACTCATTTGTAGCCTACTTTGTAAACTATTTTGTTTCTTTTTATTTTAACAAACCCCGTAGATACTGATTTTCTGTGGGTTCTGTTCTTGATGCCCCCTTTCCTCATTTCTCTTCCTTCTCATTCTATAATAGCCCCAAACAGCCTGGATAGGTTGATGACTCTCTTTAGCTTTGTCCTTTTCTCTCGGCCCTAAATCTATAATATCCAACTGTCTACTTGATATCTCTAATGCAGATGCTATGCAGACACTTCACACTTGTTAGGGATTTTAGACTTCAGGGATTTAGACTTTAGCTATTTTGATCTATGGGGATTTTAACATTAGGGATTATGGGGTTTGGGATTGTGTCCTTTGGGATTATGTTCTAAACCCAACTCCATCATTCCTTCCATTTGCCAACTGGGAATATTTGCAATTGTCCTCTACTCCTTTCTCTCCCTAACAGCCTACATCCAGTAAGTCACCCAAGTCATTACAGTTTTACCTCCTAAGGCCCTTTATTACCCCCTCTTCTAGTGGTGACCCTAGGAAAATAACTACCTTCCTGTGTTTCAACTTCTTAATGAAACAAAGACTTTGAATGAGGTGCCGGGTAAGATTCATTTTAGCTCTAATATTCTTTGGTTCTCTTGTTGTTACTTCTGCAGGGTTGAGCTGATGTCAGTGTTGTGGAGGTGTTTCTAAAATAGTGCTGGTAATCAGTTGGGTCCTAAAGAAGGAGGATTGCTGAGTGGAGACCTCTTCTCACTGTACAAATATCTAATTCTTTTCTGATTTTTAAGCCATGCAGTTTATCTACTTAGGCATTAGAAAATACCCATGCATAAAACCACAGGAAACTTCAATTACTGTTTAATTATAAGCCACATTTTCAAAGCAATTCTTTCTTAGAGGTAACTTCAGATGGTCTTTGAACAGCAGGTATACTTGCCCAAGTCAGCAGCAACTGTGGGTAGGGACTGGAGACATCACTCAGGGTCACAATACTCAGAGACAGATAAGGCGTTCTTAGTATTTATTCTTGCTTGTACAGACTGATTGCTCTTGGATTTTAAAACCTTAAGCAGTTCTTGCAATCCCGTAAGCATATACAGCCATGTACAAGGCTTTTTATTAGAAGAGCAGAATTCAGGCTGAAATGAGACTTTGGCATGTGGATGTTTCAGAAGGATGCAGAACCTTTTATTTCTGAAATTATGGAAATCATGGTATGCTAGCATTTGAAGATACCTTGTAGAATATCTACTCCAACTTCTTTATTATACAGATGAAATCCAGAATGGTTACATTCGTCCAATATTACTTGACTATTTACTGTGTGCTTGGCATTGTGTTGGGTGCCAGGGGGACAAGTCAAATATGACATGGTCTGCCTTTATCGAACTCAACGCTCAGAGCCAGTTGTGTGTGTGACAGGATAAGATAGATTATGTGGTGACAACAAAAGGCCTCCAGTTCTGCAAAAGCTACATGCTCATAATATAATACGTGTCTGTAATAGGCCAGCTGCAGCCCTTCTCCATGTCATCTTTACTGTGACATTCAGATTGACAGAGCAGCTTCCATTTGGGACATGGCCAATCTTGTAACAGAGGGACAAAAGAACAGGGCAAACTGCATGCTGGAGGGTAAAGCATATTCCCTAGACTTTGTCATCACCTCAAGCTCTCAGATTCCTCCTCCTTTTACTTCACTTCTTCCTTTCAGCTATCTAACCTTAAAGGGATAATAGAGGTCAGGCGTGGTGGCTCACACCCATAATCCCAGCACTTTGGGAGGCTCAGGTGGGCGGATCACCTGAGGTCAGGAGTTTGAGACCAGACTGGCCAACATAGCGAAACCCTGTCTCTACAAAAAATACAAAAGTTAGCGAGTGTGGTGGCATGTGCCTGTAGTCTCAGCTACTTGGGAGGCTGAGGCAGGAGAATCGCTTGAGCCTGGGAGACAGAGGTTGCAGTGAGCTGAGATTGTGCCATTGCACTTCAACTTGGGCGATAGAGTGAGACTCCATTTCAAAGGAGAGTAGAGTCTTTGGAACTCCCGAAACTTTGAAGGCTAAAGATGGGAATTTTTGTCTAGTGCCATAAAAATTCTGTAGTTGTTGTCTCTGAGACTGACAGATGTTTCACATTTCGCATCAAAGGTCTCACTCCCTGGTGTAGGCTCAGTCCTTTCCTAGTGTGATGGAAGGTGTGATGGCCAAATAAAGCCTGGGCCTGTTTTAGCCTGTTCCTTCTCTAGATTTTCCTAATGTCTGTCTGCCCTCTTCTAGCGTTTCTGTCTCATCTGGGTTTGAATTTTTAGTTCTGGAGCCTGAAAACCCATGAAACATGGATTCTGCCTCCCTTCTCTCTGTGTTAGGAATGCTTTTTTGGTTGTAGTAATGTAACGAGAGCTAGCCTGAGTCAGAAAATAAGAGGCCATTAGAGTCAGAAAATGCAGCTGCTTCTCCTGGCTCTGCTGTTCCCCAGCCAGGTGACCTGACCCTGTCACTTGGCATTTTACCTTGTTTTACTTAAGTGCTTTATTTGGGTGTCTGGCTATGATGATGGAGGGGACATTTGTCTGACTCCTCTAGACAGAGGTCTTCTATATATTATTTATGGTCTATTTATAGGCCTTCCATTATAATATTTTATAATGCCTTATTTTTAAAAACTCATTTTAATTGCTCACCCTTTATTGGCACAAATACTTATACTTCTTGCATAGCACTTCCCATAGTGTATGACAATTTAATCTCTCTACACATCTGTCCATGAGCTTCTCAAGCTCAGGGAGGCCTCCTCTGTGTGTGAGCTCCAGCACCTGACATGCTCTCTGGCCCAGAGTAAGCAAGCACTCAATACGTGTTTGGTAAAAGCATGAATGAGTCTCATTGGTAAATGGGGATCCTAGCAGACACTTTGGGTGCCCGGGCTAACCCCTTGGCATTCGCC